CTTTAGTTCCGTATTTTAATTTTATTTAAATTTTAAATTTAACAAAAACAAAAACAACAAACCTCGACCTCTTTTAATTGAGGTCTTCTTCAGTGTACGTAATAAAATATATAAAAATATAAAATGTAAAATATAGTTAAAATTCTATTTCATATAACTTGTGCAGACTTAAAATGTAGAGTGACTGCTTAAAAAATTAAAATGCTTACTTTAAAATGCTGCTTTAAAATTAAAATACGGAACTAAAGTATCTAACTTTAACTCTATTAATCAATTTATTGTTCCATGAGATTATCAATATCTTCTCTCCATATACAAAATAAAAAGAAAAATGAATAAACAAACCTGTTCGAAGAATAAGAACATATATATACACTTACCACAGAAAGATAAGAATTTATTTCACAATGTTCCTCAGCACAAACACCTAGGCTTTTCTACAGTCTACTATGTAAAAAGAGAGACAATAAAAAAAGAAAACGCACACAGAATCTTTATGGGGTCAAATCAAAATATTTTTCAATAAATAAATGATTTTGTGACGTATCTTTTGTGAAGAAAGCAAACTGGTTGATCTGGACATCAACAAATCTAAGCGAATCTATTTTGCTATGTTGTGCTCGTTTTGAGCGTCTAGTAAGAAAAAAACTGTTTTTCTTAAATCCCATTGATCTATACCACACTCTCTCAGGAGATTTAGCACTCAAGTAAACAGAAAACGTCTGCCGATAAGATGTTGCTTCAGCCGATTCGTTTAGATGTTTATTACACCTTAACCAATATTTTAACAGATAATCGTGCAGTGTTACTTCTCTACTTAAAACTAATGTTGTTACACCATCCCATTCCCACAACGAATATACCATACGCAAATCAGAACAAAAAACATGCTCAATTTGTTCTTTTTGATTTTCGGTAAAAAAGAACCACATGCAAAAAAGTAAAATAAAGTGAGGAAGAGAATATGCTAGAAATAATTTTCTACGAATTACTATTTGGTTTTTCGGAATGTCTTTAAAAATAGCGCATTCTCAGCGCATTATATGTACTTCTCACTTTCTTTAGTTGTTCGCTAATGTACTTCTCCCACCCTAGCTTGGTTGTAATAGTTACTCCGAGAAATCTGTTTGTATTAACGTACACAATTTTTTGGTCATGGTAGAAAATTTTCGGTTGCCCCGGTGATACCGCACTATGGACAACCATCGCTTTTGTTTGTGGTACGTTTACAGGTAGCAGATTGTCATCAGAAAACTTTTCAAGACATTTCATAGTAATTTTAGCCTGAATTTCTAATTCAAACATATTCTCAGAGAGTTTTTTTTCTAAGGATCCAAGCCACACCAGAGTTAAGTCATCAGCGAACAAATGAATAATTAACTGCATAAAATATCTGGGGAGAAAATGAACATGTAATCGAAAAAGAGTTGCTGATAAGATACATCCTTGAGGAGCGCCTACAAACATTTCAATTATCCTTGACACAGCTTCGCCATGATGTATTGAAAATGTTTTTCGTTGAAGCCAAGAGAAGATCCATTTTAAAAGATCAAGAGGCATTTCGAGCTCCTGTAAATTAGTAATAAGTGCAGGATACCACATACGATCGAACGCAGAGAAAAAATCAACAAATATTACTAGTGCAGGACGATTACATGCAGCGACAGTTAGCCTAAGTTTTTCGCATATCGATAATATCCGAGTTTGAAGGCGTCTTTCCGGAGTGAAACCAGACTGCTCATCAACGTAAATATTATTTTCTTTGCATCATTTTAAATTCTCTGATGAATTATTCGTTCAAACCATTTACCTAAATTCGGCAGCAAAGAAATCGTGCGAAGCCTGCTTTCCTCCGGATACGGACCATCTTTAGACAAGCATATCACTTTTGCATGCTTGCTACTCTCAAAAAAATTCCCTTTTCTTGCGCATCTATTGAACAAAATTGTTATTATTCCTATATATTCAACTGGTAGTTGCTTTATGAGAAAAGCAGATGTGTTTAAGCTGTCTATTGACTTTTTGGGCTTAAATTTTTTCCACTGCAGTAGAACCTCATCCATTTTTATCTTTTCCAGAGGAATATTAGGAATATATTTCATTTGTTCATAAATGAGTTTACATTTTAGTTGATTTTTGTTATTAATGTTTGTTTCCGGTTCTTTAAAATGATTTTTGTAGTAGTCTGCAAGGACATCAACAATTTTTTGGTTATCTTTTATCTTACTGTTGTTTTTAGTTAAACCTCGAAACGAGGGAGAAAACGGACGAAAAATCGTTTTCGTCTGTGTCCATATATTTTGGTCTTTTTTTAACTAGGCAGATTTATTGTCACGTTTCTCTTGCTGATGTTTTGCTCTTACTTCAAAAAACATTTCTCTCCAATATAAAAATTCGTCTAAATGCTGTGAACGACGCGTTCTTCTATATTTTCTTATTTTGTTAACTTTCTTTGCTAGACAAACAAGAAAAAATGGCCAAGGAGGCCTATATGTTTTAATACTTTTATATAAGCTTACTCTCTCCCATAGGGAAGACAAAGGAAGAAAATATATCAAAAAAACTTTGTTCGTCTAGATTGTATACTAGTACATTGAAATAATCGAAAACAGCTAACAAAAAGAACGAAAAAATAGTCTAGTTTGCTTTACGAAAATAACCCTTTTCAGAGATCGCAAAAGGAGAATAGAACAACACAGGATAATGATCCGAGGTACCTTCATCTAATACTTCACTCATCCAACCCATGGAATTATTGCTTATTCCAAAGTCGATTACTAACTTAGACTTTCTTGATGTGGGTTTTAACGGAAATAGTACATCTATTCCATTTTCATCATTTCATTCATTTAACCTTAACCCACTCCTATTGTTTTCCTCGCAAAGCCACTATGTTTTGCGTTATAATCACCAAAAATGAAAAAAATTTATTGAGCTTGCATGCATTGTTCAAACTTATGAAAAGGCGGAAAGGTGTCAGGAGGAACGTAAACCGCATCAACTAAAGTTTTTCCATGCAAAATTGTAATTTCAACTACTAAGAAATTTATACTGCGGTCAACAATAACAGTATTTTACTATTTTTCACATTTCCTTTCAGTAGCACTTGAGACAGCTAACGTTTTTCCGTTAACACTCAGTCCTGGGGCAAATTTCTGATTTAGTTCTCAAAACAGTGCACATCTGTCTTATGGAAGTTGCAAAAGCGTTGTTTAGACAGGTTATTCAGCTATCAAAGGCGGCAAATTTTTTATGAGAAGATGTAAAAATCTTCATTGCAGGAAGAAGGACAAAAACAAAAATCCTCGAAAAGATGACAAATTGCGGAAAAAAGTACAGAAAGCAGAATTTGTCAGTAAAATGCGGGCAATCTGGCAGCTCTCAACTCGTTATATCATTTTAAAACTTTAAAAAGAAATGTTTGAAAGTTTTTCGGCGTCGGTTTAAACCCAATATCTATTTTTTCGTGTCGGTTTTTCGGTTTCAAAACCGAAACCAGTGCATACCCAGTCGCGGAAAGTTAACCTTTAAAGTTTTTCAGTAAAAAAGTTTCTTTTTCGAAATGGTTCTGTCGGAGGAAGTCAGATGTTTAACTGTCATCTGTGCTCTCTCAATTTCAAGTAGTCTTTGAGCCAGAAAATCAAAGCCGAGTTCTTCAGTAAACTTGACGTTCTTCTGTCAGCAGACCTTCGGAAAACAAATGTCCTCTATAGAGAACTGGAAGATTCAAGAACTCAAAATGAGTTCTACACTACACAAAGTCAAAGAATTCACCTTCACATAAATTTTCGAAGGACTCATATCATCTCTATAGGAGACAAATGAATCTAGACCTTTCCTTTACCTTCTATAATAGATGCAAAAAAAAGATAATTTTTGTAATAGACACAAAAGACAGAAGTTTCTGCTGATCAATGTCGGTGCTTTTGAATTTATTAAATAAAGATGGGTTTTTCTATTGACTATACTGACATAGAAAATATTTCAGGATGTGCATCAACTAAAAATCATACCATATCAAACTAAAAAAACTAAAACATACCCTTCGAAAAATATGTGCTCTTTTATATTAGCACAGTACGTGTATCAGATAATTTTTTCAAAGGTACATGTTCGAGCGCGTAAATGCTGACAAAAAATTTGCTAACTTTATATTTTTCGTTGCAATAAAACTTAGTTGCTTTCTTAAAACAAGTTCTACTTTTGAAAAATACTTCACATTTAAAAATTCAAAACTATTGAAAGCAATTTTCGAAGAAAAAGTGCGTAAATAGATGACTTTTGTAGCAGAGCATTTTCGCTTTCAAATAAAAGGTCTTCAAGATTTGGACAATTTTTCGATAAAATAGTTAGGCGCCTTTACTTTTACTCGTTTCCATTACCTTTAGTGTCTCTTTACTGTCTCTAGCGCTGTAAGTGGTCTACTACTTTTAATTAAAGTATTTACCTGTAACTTTGCAATCTCGTCTCATTTTAAAAAATATTCGCCTTCTTCAAAATTAAAAAACGTCTAAGAATACTACTAAACTTTGTTTTACCAAAATAAAAGTAACGCAGTTTTGTTCAATTTTTTATGCTATTTCTAACGCTGCATTAAAAGTAATTACCGACTGTTCAATTTGAAAAATTCTCGTTCATTCTAAGAAAATTTGGAATATAAACTTCAACTAAAGAGATTGTTGAAATATTTGTGTATCAAAATGAAGTAAATCAAACCTTCTATGGATATCTATAACTTAAGTTTTATTTTACGAACGTTTCAGGTGAAAATAAACAAAGACATTGAAAAGTCTTGAACTTTTCCTTCAGTCATCCGAGACGCTTTGAGCAATGACCATACACAGCCGGTCGTTAAACTAATAAAAACTACTGAAAAAATTATCAATATTCATTTTTATTGTCAAAATTAGAAATCTTGTTTACAGAAAATAGTGAAGAAAAAAAAATGCAAAAAGTTATTTCAGAAACATCAAAACACAAGAATCCAATACATGCACACACTATTTGAAAGTATTGTTCGCCGTTGTTTGATTAGTTATGTAACTTTGAGCTATAATCGACACTTTTGGACAAAACGCTCTCCAAACTTGTAAAAGCTAAAGGATGGATAAATAAGGTAAAAATAAAATATTATGTCCTTTTCGAAACAGTTAGGAACTTACATCACCATGTAATTTCAACTGACTGTTTCCGAAACTGCTCAGTATATAAATAAATGATTCGATGTTGGCATAAACGAGTTGTGTTTCTAACTGAACACATTTTAATGCATGCGTATTCCTCTTTTCTATTTCTTGTAAAATATTTTCATGCTACAAACAAAAAATAAATTGTTCAATTTTAATAGAACGATAGATCACATTTCATTACCTCAGACAATCTTGCTTCTGTTTTTTCCAATGTTTCATCCAGACTTTTAGTTCCTGACGTAATTGTATTGGAACGACGTTGATTGGTCAATTTTTGGACAGTTTTTTGTTCATTTGCGAGTGCAATTTCGAATCGTTTGCAAAGATCCTTAATAAAAATGAAGAGTAGAATATCTTCTCATTGATGAGAATACGACTTTCAATAAGATGTTCAAAATACTTTAAAGACAGGAGAAAACGGTCAATAGAAAACAACATGAACTCATTTTTTACCAGTCTTTTCTCGCATACCTTATATCCTTGCAGTAAATCAATTAACATATCTATATGATCACTAATTAATTCATCTTCACGTTTATACTGAAACAGAATAAGTAAATAAAATCCAGAGCAGTATTGGATAAAGAATTCTACACACCTGCTCAGTAATCCTTTCGGCTACAGCATTCAACTCCATCGGTAATTGTGACAGGCCTTTTTGAATCGTTGACCAATATTCATTCACGCCCAATGCCCAACGATCAACTTCTGTTGTATCTGTGCTTAGTGACCTATTTAGAAAAATGTAAAAGGATATTTGAATTAAATCTTAGTTAAATACATACTGTATTTGCTTTTCAATTGAATAAAACGTCTCAGCGTTTTTCATGCTTTGTTTATTATAATTCTGCAAACCTGATCTTATTTGAACAATAGTTTGATGAATAAAATTAATATGAATTTGACTTGCTTTAAATAGTTTTAATGAATCAGCTTGCAAATTAGTCTAAAACAAAATAATATCTACAATATATGACAAAATTACAAAATACCGAGCTTACATTATCATATTGTACCGTTGATGTATGTGAGCTATATTCGTCTAGTGCATTCCGAAATTGTATTTTCATGTTGTCACCACAATCCTGATAAGGATTAAGGCAGCCATACAGGATATGATAAAAGGTGTTGATAGAAAGAAGGCAACAGATCGACTCACCGTTCCTTGGAACGTTAAAAAAAATTTGATTACTTCACTATCGTATAACGTTGGATGTCGACATAAGATTTGTAAATACCGTTTCAGAGCACGACGACGGTCTTCAATAAATTCTTTATCCTCTAAAAAGAGAAAATGGAAGTACAACATTTTTGTATTATGTGCATGAGAAGCATAGCAATCACCTTCGAATCAAGGAGCTAAGCATTTACTGTATCAGCTTTGCTCCGACGGTTACGAACTTATCTATTTCTTCTGATGAATGTAGTCATTTCGTTGAATTAAAAATCACATGAAAGCGTAGCAAATCACTTAAGCTAGTGATCGAAAAGTCCTTAAAAACTTTCTCACTTGGAAACGCTCTTTAGCTGGAAATACTTCAGACCCCAATGTTTCTATTCAAAACAGTTGATGATTGATTGTAGTTAGTGTAAAAGTGATGTTCAGTTTTGATTGTGTTTGCACTCATCACTCACTTAGTCTTTTTCATGCATTACGGTTGTACTAACAGATTGTTATTATTCAAGTGAAGCGCACAGATCGTACTCTTATCACATATTTTCTTTCTACTTTGACTCATATCCAACAGAATTAGAAAAAGAATTTGTTTTTTTATAGCGAAAACAAAAACTGGAAATAAACACCCACGATTAACGAGTTTTTTTGGTGGCAGATTAGGCAATATACGATTTGCATATTTTTGAGATAATATAGTATTTAATGCATCAAAATCGTTGTATCGACGAAAGACTTTGTTTTTCAATCGCTAGAAAAATTGGCGGATGATTTTAATATGTACATAGTTACTCTCCGAAAAAGCCCTCCTTGATATACTAAAAATCAATTTTTCCTGTACTTACCATGCTTGATACTTCATATTCAAAATGACGAAAAAGAACACCTAAACAGAAAATAGACAAAAATAAAATTATTAAATCTCAGAATTAAGGCGTTACCTTTTTTGTCCGGTACTAATTCGACTTGTATTGTGTCCAACGAACATAAATCGCCGTAACGAAAGCATAGAATTGTTTCGCATTGATTATCGCGCATTAAACGTATAAAACGATCTCCTAAATCATTAATATCGCCGATCATTGGAATCGGAAGTTCTAAAAAGGATTAAACAGCTACGGTTTAGGGAAAACTATCCACTTATATGAGTTTTTCTACCTTTATTTGTATAATTGTCCAACAATCTTTCATCAATTGACTTTCCTTGCTGAGCTAATGCAATAAATGTAAGACATTTATAGAAATCTGCACGAGTCAATGGTTTGCCTTTGGGACAACTCAAATCCCAAATCTAAATAGAAAAAGAGAATTTTAGATGAATAGAAAGCGCCAGTACAAACATTTCATATGAATTTACATTCAATCTCCATAATCATTTTCGGTGTTCGATCTTTATTACAAACTTACTTGCGCTAAGATTGTTGTAGATAATTTAGCTGATTCAAACAGAGATATAAACAAATCCATTGTTAATTTCGCTAAACCATGTGTATTCAAAATTTCAAACACATCACGATAAAACACTGGTACTATGCCTTAAAACATATAAGCATGAAATTGCCATGAAAGTAGTTGACATAGCTTTATTTACCGGTACTTAAATCTACTGGCATCTCTTCAGAATTTAAAACAACAACCTCTTATTTAACTACAGATTGTCGTATATGGAAAATGTCATTAATAATTAATCTAAGCAAAGAAAACATTTCTAAAAAAGGATACCGTTCGAAAACGATGAAAGGGAAAGAATATGTGAGCCTAAAAAAAATCCGAGAAACATAAATAAAAACCGACGAGCACAAACATAGCTCGAGTAAGACACTCGCTGCTGTTTCTTCTGTGTGTCGTGTTCTTGTTTTTCGTGATGGCTATCGTGCGCTGCATACTACTCTGACTATCAGCGAAATCTGGAAATCTTGACATACATTTTGAATTATATTTTTCTCCTTCTATTTCTGACTCTGTAAACGAGCTCATTGTCCGTATTATTTCTTCTTACACAGTTTTCCCTCTCAAACCTTTCTCTTAAAGGAAAATTTCAGATTTATAAAATTTTTTACCATAAAATCAATTCTCTCGCTTTTATTCTATTTCGCCTCCACATTACAAGTCGAAATCACTGACTGATTACACTCATACATATTTCCCCTAAAGTCATATAATCTCTCAGACACGAACGACGACCGGCTGACTAAACCCTTAAAAACAATTTCAAGTTTTTAAATTAGAAGAGTGACCAATGTTAAAGAATTTTAGTCCAATCGGATAAGAGATAGGCTCTAAGAAGATGTCGCTCGGAGAAAACATCAAATGATATTATGCTTCTTATATCCACAGAATCGGGATCTGTATCTACATCAATTAAAACAAGGTATTTAGTTGATTTGGTGCAAACCATTTATTGTGTTTCTCCCCACTCGAAATTTATCAGGGGCGAACTGATATGATATGTGCATAATCTTCTTTCAAATCCGAAACTGTCATCCAATACAATGAATTTGTGTCGTAGAAACCAAAGAGAATACATGAAATACGGGTACTTTTACACTTTAAGGACACTACCGTCCACCATCTTCCAAGATGGCGAAATCCATGTAATATAAGTGGTAAACTATGGACCAATCAGAAAACGCTGCAGAGGCTGTTCAGGTTCGCTGTGGTGCAGCGACAGCTGGCGAAAGTAACTATACAGTGGTTTAGGTCGACTTAAATCAGAGAAAGCTCTTTTAATACCAGTCTCTGATGCTTCGGCCCAAGTTGAACAGCACTCTACTAGGCCATGTCAACATAAACTAAAGTTTAATATTTGCTGAATAAACATATTTTCAAACAATTTTCTCTCTGGTTTAAGTTGACATAGACCAGGGAGAAAGTTCTGCTGAAATAATGGTTGGTCCTTTCACTCTTTAGTTTAAGTCGACTGAAAGCAAATGGTTCATATCGAGTTGAACCAGCAGTCGCAAAACTGCATTAACTCTGTCTCAAATTGGTGTACTTCTAATCTCATGTCTCTCAATGTGTCTAAATGTTCTTGGCTTCCTTTTAGTTTCGATCCTTTCCCGTTTGTTTACAATCAGCTGTATCTTAATAAAGTGCCTCTTTCCGTTATGTTTTCTGTTCGTTGTCTCGGAGTTCTTGTTTCGCACGATCTTAGCTGGAGTGAACATGCCACAGACATTGCTCTTGCTTGTCGACGCAAGCTAGGCGCACTGAGCCGTGTCTTTGGACTCGCTCTGTCAGAGGTTCGGCGTCGAATCTATCTTTCTTCTATTCTTCCTAAACTTGATTGCTGTTGTGCCTTATACGATAGTTCCTTTTCGCTTTCCGTATTCGATTCTGTAAATAATCTTGCTTCTCGTGTTATTTCTCGTAACTTTGACTATCGCTTTTCTAGCTCTTTACTTGTGTCACTATTTTCTCTTCCAAACCTCTCTCTTCGCCGTAAATATTTTCAACTAGTGCAGTTTTTCAAAATTTATCATCGTCTCAGTCCTCTTTCTGTCTTTTACTCTATTCATCGTCCTCATTACTCTTCTTTACGCTCTAAATATGTTCGCATTCCAACCTCTGTCAATGGTTTTTCTTCTCAAACAGTTTTCTCTTCTTTTTACTATTCAACTATTACTGACTGGAATAAACTTCCTAAGTCAGTTATTTGTTTTTCTTCACTAGCGTCTTTCAAAAAGGCACTAGTTCAATATCTCTTACTAAAAAATATCAGCCGTGTTCCTAGTCATAATTAACTTGTATTGGTTGTTGCTCTAGAGTTATTTTATTTGTGTCTATCTTTTATTGTTACTTTTATATACTCGTTGCATATTCTAGTCTCATTTTCTTTTCTTTTGTTGACTTCTATTATTATCTTTAGTTTTATTTATTTATTTTATTTATTTTCTTTTTTTCCCTATCTCTTTTTATTTTCGTCTGGGTCACCGATATTACTGGTCACGAACCTTTGATGACTCTCGAGTGATTCGAAATAAAATAAATAACTGGTGTTCTTTTTTTTTTATTCAACTATTGCTGACTGGAATAATCTCCCGGAGTCAGTTATCTGTCTTACTTCTTTAACCTATTTCAAAATAGCTTTATGTCAGTATCTCTTCCAGTGAAGCATTTGTCAGTTAAGAATTTATATCTGTTCTTTTTTGCTTACTTCTTTTTATTTTTTTTTATTTTTATTTATTATTTATTATTTTTTTTTTCTAAAATTTGTTCTTTTTTTCTACTATTTCTGGTTCTAACCTTAGTTGTCTTATTTATTTTGTTCTTTTTATTACTCTGTTTGTGTTGTTTGGCTCGAGTCATTTATTACAGGTCAGTGACCTTTGATGGCTCTCTCACTTTTCGTGAATAAAGTCTACAGGGATTGAACCTGAGGTTACTCGATCTCAGGTTTAACTCCTGTCTACGTAGTTCCTTTTTCTCAATTATTTAGAAGATTCCTCTGTCAAGACTGGACTCAACAGGAATTATATCGGGTCAACTTATAATTATAATTTATATAAAAATTCAGCTGTTTCAGGTAATTTTTTATATGCATATGAGCAAAGAACTCAAAAGACCCACGTTTGTAGACAGACTTTAGTTTTTCATAAATCAGTAACCCTGAAATAATTGTAAAAGCAAGATATGTTGAGTATATATGACAAATAGCTAAGTTATAAAACAAGAGAAACGCTATGTCACTCAAATGCGGAAAACGAATGCTATAAACTAGCGACCCTTGTCAATTTCTTCTTTTCTCTATTCTGCATGAACGAACCAGAAAATAGCAGTCCATATTTTCTTTAAGATATGTGGAGTCCTTATATGCAGTGTTTCTAACATTACGCGTACGCCTTTGTTCCACAGCGTACGGTACGCGAACTAAATTGAAAATACGCTTTGTATCAACCAATAGGAAACGACAGAACGATAAAATCCACGAATTACCACGCTTATGTACGCGCTGCTCAAAATTCTCATTAGAAAGCCAGCTTATATGTGGCTAAAAGCAGACAACGCACGAAATAAGCGTCTTTTTTTCAATAGCAAACGCATCATTATTAGTCAGTTCAACAACAGCAGGCGAAATTTGGGATCAATCAAAAAAAGCAAACCACAAACATGTGCGTGTCAAAAGTTACCTGGAAATAACAAAAACATCATTAGCAACTAAATCGACATAACATTAAGGCTAGCTGCTGACTCAAAAAATTGCGTAGAATGACGAAAATGATGAAAAGAAAGTTTCTTTCGTAAAACAACCTTCACTTTCTATCATATTTAGGTAAAGCCCTCTAGTAAAATCCGTTTTGATAAAAAATAAAGACCAAATATAATTGAAAAAAATGTTTTTTATCAATGTAAGGAAACCAAAGAGAGAGAAAGAATTTTTTGGACGAACTTATGGGAGGAGGCATAAAAAATTGGTTCTCTATAAGATCTTATTCAGGTTCAAAATTTTTGAAAGCATCTGATAAATGTTTCTTTGCCTTTATCAGACATAAACGCGCTGACCTTGTCTATGAAAATTTGTCTTTTTGTCTTTGAATTCCAAACTATTACCCTTTCGTGATACAGTATACTAGAAAGTTCTTCTCAAGAATAGTGATCGGATAATCACTTAAAACTCCTTGATAACCTGCTGGATTAAAATCTCACAAATAAATTCTATATACTAAAACTAAAGTCTTCATATCAGTTTTGAAAATTCATTTTTATGATTCTTGACTTTATTAAGTTGAATCTGCGCAAGCGAACGTCCTTTGGTGACTTTTAAATCGAACACAATGCTCATGCCTCCCTTCGTTCGACGCTCGCTGGGGGCAGTGTTTTATCTAGGTTTCGTTTTTCGGGTGGGCGGTTGAAATTTTTGGAGGGGCTGTTGGCCAAAAAGTGTTTTGCTATGTAGCAAAGATACGGACAGATTCCTATTCATTTTTTCACAACACCATTACACTTTTTCTTGTTACTAATACCGTTTTTGTAGAAAACAAATAACATGTGAAAAAACACTTTTCACGAAAAAAACACTTTGAGAAGAAAACAATAAATCTAAATTAAACCGAAATTTTTCCTAATTTTTTAATTTTCCAACACAACAATTGATAATCAATTCTTTTAGATCGTTATCTAGTAGACCAATCATATTAATTTCCGAACCTGATTGGTCTAATAGATCAATAAAAAGTCTACTTTACTTTTTTTAGAGTCGTGTGCGTTTTCGTGGTTTGGTATGGTCGCAACCGCCGATGACTAATCGAATCATTAGCAGAATGTGAATCCACCAATGCACTTTAATCGACTTCTTTGTGACACGCTTTTATCAAAAGAAAATTATTGCGCAAAAGAACTATGAACAAGTCGCTTCAGAATCGAAGAGTCAAGACTTCGGCAGGTTTAGTTTTCAGAAAAGTGCAATCTTCTAGAGTTTAACATAAAACAAATTAAAATAAAATTCATATAAAATTAATACAACAAAATGTGTATATACAAAAGCAATTCTCGTTTAAAATGTAGTGTGTACAGTAGATGTTAAAACTGTAATGTGCCATTCAATTATGTAATGCTATTCAAGAATAAGAATATAAAAAAAATATAAGTTATCCGACTTCGTATAGTAACAAAG